ATTTATGATAATGCCTATTTTTTTTTTAAGTAAAACAAAAAGTTGCTGCTTTTTCTTCGACTCTGGGACACATTGTAATTTTAAATGTTGTAAACTGTGTTTTATGTCTTTGAACATTGTCAAATGTATAAACAATATTTTCATTAAAAAGTAAGTAATACCTGTTCCTGGAAGTTGCTATATTACGAGGGTATTGCATAACGAATATTTTATTTTTATACATTTATTTTTTTCTGTGTCTTATTCTAATCTTACCTTATCTTTTTTAATACACCACATTTATTCTGGACGAATACATTTTATAGAGCTGGCGGCAAGATAATAACAACTATTCAAGTGTCACGATATTTCTTCGTTATAACAACAAAAAAAAATTTACAAAAACGTTCAAGTATTTTATTCTAAACGTATCTTAACTGCAATGTTACAAGGTAGGACATCCATCAAGCAGGACTCGAGTTGAATGAATAAAAATCCAAAAGAAAATATATATTTACATACAAATAATACACATTATAATAATATCATTCTTTGGAAATAAAGTAACAAGTTCTAATACAATACTATTCTGGAATTGTATTTTACTCTTTAGGTAAAGCAGCATTTACAAGGATCCATGATTAAGTCCATTGAATGAATATTGGACTTTAGAATAATTCCAGTAATACGCTGTTCATTAAGTACATCTGTAGATTTTATTTCTGGAGTAAAATGTTTATTAAATGTCTATCGAATATTATTTTGACTTAAAATTATATAACAACACGGTATAATACAGTTTTATAAACATAGTTCAATTGTTGTTTAATATATTTTTCCCGTCCCACTGCATAACAAATGTAAGACAAATAGGTTCAAAACATTATTTTTTATTTTCCCTCAATTTTTACCTTTCAATATTATTCTCTTTTACATCAACGATAATATTAAAGATCGATTTTTTCCTTCGAAATGTTTAAAATTGTATACATTTCTCAAATTGTTGACAAAATAATCGTTTACATTTTTAGTAATTATTTTCGTTATGTAAAAGTAACAGTCAAACGTTATTACTCGATTACTCTTACAAATAATGTTGTACATCATTATTTATGACGAAAAAAATCGGTAATACAAAATTACTAATACACCTATTAAATTGTTCATGTAGACTAAATATAAGCTTCTATAATGATGTTATATTAAATTCAGATTTTTTTAATATAATGTTGAAGTATCTAAAAATATAATATGTAGACTTTTAAATCGACCAAAGATTTTGTGATTGTTTTTTTTTTTTTGAAAACTCATGAATTTGGTACTTAGGTACCTGTATACGATTGTGTAATTAGATATTTTTAAATTTTAAAACCCACTCGATTGTTATTAATCCTATTACAGATTTTATTTAAAATTTGTAAAATGTTTGTACTCAATTTTAAGTATTAGTAATTTATTTTTAGTTTATTCTTATTCAAGATTTAAGAACTATATGAGTTGTCATTTGTCAGACACTCTCACGTCTTATTTTTTCCTTTTTCAGCCATCATATTGGTAAAACAGTTTTTGAATGATCACTAAAATTTTCTATAGAAAACCACTAGTTTTTATAACGTTGAAATGTAAACCAGTTCACAGTTAATTCATCTTCTAGTAAAAAATAAAAATTAAAAAAATATTTATAACTGTTGCAGGGTTAATTGAAATTAATATGAGTTCCGGCATCACAGTGTTTTATTATGCGCAGTTGTTTATTTTTCAACAAAACCGGATGAGAGAAAGTAAATTAAACAAGGGATTTTTAACATTATCATTAATTAAATAATTATACGATGTGAACTCAAAAAAAAATATGTAAATAAATACAATCAAAAATCAGTTTAATAATTTTGCCTGAAAACTCGAACTAGGCTTTTATTTTTTATTTATTTAAAACTTTTCACGTGAGGGTCGTTTTCAAATAAAAGGTTTCTCTTCCGTCTATGATACCATAAAACATGTCAATGGAGTAGTAAATCACAAAATCCAATCGTTTATAAGTTGATTTATTTATTTATTTATTTACACTGGGCATTTTTACAACAAAGGTTTTTTTTAATTCTTTTTTTTTCGTTTTTAACGAATTTTTATCAATCAGTTACTTGGGAACTATTTGAATGCATACTGCACACAAATCACAATAATTTTTTCTATGTTATTATCTTCAGTTATATATTTTCTATTCACTGGTGTAATCTTTCATATGTTACCTACCTAACGTGTGCTGCAGTTGATACAATACATATTAAGTTGCTATCGAACTTGTGACGTCACATTATTTTTGTTGACTTGTGTATTAAATCCATTTAAATTCTCCATTACCGCATAAAATGTCATAACTAGTCCCGCGTATTATCATACTGGACTTTATAACTAAGATAAAAAGCTCTCTCGCCTCTACCTAGAAATTTCTCTCTACTCCACTTCACTATAATCAGTTTGTTATTCGTCGATACTGTCCGCGCCGAACGTCGTTTCGCGTCAAGCACACATTTAAAAAAAAGGAATTCGTTCAGTTCCTTGTTCCTTATAAAAAATTATTTTGTGTTGGAATACTTGTGAATTAATCAGAAAACGATTATAATTTACACATTGTTACATGAAGTATGTGTATATAGGTGAATGTTAAATAAATATAGCTGACTTGGAGAAGCAAACGAATCAGAAAAGTTCGGTTTATTATATTCAGTGAGATGTATGGAGAGTGATAAATAAAATGTTTTAATGGTTTTTAATATTAGTGAATTGCGCACATTAAATACTTTACGATCTGAAATAATGTTTTACGACGCACAAGTAATGACTTGTTACAAATCTTAGTTTTGTACATTTGAAAAGAACCAAGATTAGCTTTATTACACTACCAATATAATATGCATAAGATAGAATAGGTAAGGTTAGGTTATACCTGTAATTATATTATACTATCATTCTATCATGAGCATACTTGGAATGTCGTACGTTAAAATAAAAACGAAAAACGACTGGATTTAAAGAGTTTTTAGTTTTTAAAAATAAATATCACCGCAAGCAAGATAAATATTCTCGATAGATAAACATTTTTTTCTGTACATTTTTTAAAGTTTGCATGGGAATTATAAGTGTCGAACGGTTAAAGAGTATTTAATATTTTTTTGTTATTGGTTCTTCACAAACTCCATATTTTTATAAATTCTCTTTATGTGACTTATTATTATGTTCGCGTATTACAAAAAACGTTTAAGTGGTATTTTTATTTTTTTCTAAAAATATTTTTTCCAATGACTTAAATATATGTAAACACTTGTTGAAAAAAAAATATCTTCTGCATATTTTAAAATTATTAATTATAAAAAAATAAAAAAATAAAAAAATATGTTTTGGAAATTGTATTTTTAAGATAATTCTATATATTTTGATTTATCTCAACGATCTTCAAAGCAAAACATTATATTGTCCTGGTGATTATATATACAATCTTGTATAATCCTTTTATTTTTTTTATAACAATGGGATGTTCTCAATTATAGACTGTACAGCACGCAAGGTTTTTTGTCGTTTACTCCCTCTTTTACTAATAATTAACGGAATTTTGTATTAATCACTTTCCGTTCACATGAACTCTGCTGACGAAGGTTTTATGGTTGAGACTATTCAAAAAATATTTGAAAATCACGATGTATATATTTATCGTATAAACGTTAAGCACGTGTTATGTTTTGATTAATTTACTTAAAATCCTTTTGTAAGAATTTTTGGTCGCATGAAAAAACTATACTAAGATTCATTTGACACTTTACCTGATACTAAAAATTCTATTACTAAAATTTTAAAAATAACGTTCAAAGCTTAACAATATTTTTCAGTATAATATTATGAATCGTATTTTATTGAAATAGGTCAAATCATGTACTTATTTATTCTCAAATCATTCATGCGATTTCTTTTAATGTATTTAAAACAATTTCAAACAATTGTTAGAGGTATTTAAGGTAAACAAGTATTTATAATTCAGAAAATAATTTAAAATAATCAAAAAATGTATGTTTCAGAATATAGGTTAATTATATTTTTTGATTAAAAAACGTGATACATATGTAAGGTTGTCTTATAATCATATTGACTTATTTATTTCTCCATTTGTTGGACGGTTAAATTGATCATGTATTATAAATGTATTAGTAAGAAACTTTTATGTAGTTTAAAATGGTTAGTTAATAATTTTAATTTGTCTTGATTGGTTTCTATTAAAAAATTATCTAAACTCTAATGTACCTAATTCTATTCTTTAAAACGTCAAAAGTTTTATTTTATTTTATAGGCTTATACTTTACATTTTTTTCCATAAGCATGGTATCCAGTTAAGTTGTATCGCATAATATGTAAATGTTAAATCAACTACATACACAACATTCTACTAGAGTATAATAAATTAGTTGTGTTTATAATTACTATTTCGTTTTTTTTTTCAAAAATTGGATGAATATTTGATCCCGAAGGTATCGAGACTTGGTGTCTAAGTACCAACACAAAATCTCATTAAGACGTATAATATTTCATAATTTAAAACATATTAATCGTGTGAAATAACCAAGTAAAAACATACCTAATTAACCATACAGTTTAAATGCTTTTCTTATTATTACTTATGGTAAAATTCATACTTAAAATTAAATTAAATTGCAGCAAATTGTGCTAAAAAGTGTTGCATTTACTGTGTTTATTTGGTACCTATGTCTAATAAGGCGGAAAACATAATTATTTATACTAAGAAACCTAACCAATAAATTACCAGGGAAAAACATTTACTTGTTTGCAAATAGATTGTACATTCTTACAATATATTTACAACATTACAGGATTCTTTTTTTTTGTTTTTTTTTTCTTAGTGTTTCGGATAGGTAACAAAATTGTAGTTTTCAGACATTTATTAACTTTACACGAATTATTTACGTTTATTGAATTTACCGCTATTTAAATTGTATTGTTTTTGTCTGTTACAGGGGAAGATAAAATGCAACCTCTGTAGGAGGTTTAACGGGCAGTGATGCTGTTATTCACATTTATTGTATGTGCAATAGCCGTCAACAATGTTTCGTCGAAAATAGGTAAGCTGAAAGAATTAATAGACTTCCGTGCAATTAAAACCTCGTAAAACTGCTTTTTGCGCTTACAATCATCCACTTCGTCTGGTCCTTATTCTTAAATCTCTTACACCAAGTACTCATCAATCAGCTGTACCCATATTAATGTATTTATACTGAATGGTATAAAATGGTAGCGAGAGTGAAATGAAACTGGCGATATAACCATAGTATTATCTCAGAGAATTTTCTAGGTGTGTTTTTAGAAATAGCAGCCTTAGCTATTTTGGCAGTTGACTTTTTATAATATGATGCATCATCTATAATATATAGGTGGTATTTACATCATATATTGAATAAAAATATAAAATTGTGTTTTTGTGCTCGTTGAAGTTCATACTTCATGATATACGTTATATGTTTTATTTGTTTTACTTTTTGAAACACAGTCTGCATTTTTAGTATCATATTATGAAGTTCAGATAGTAATATTCTACCTACATGAATCGAATTTAGTATCTATGATTAATTCGTTGGTTAGAACATACAAGTATTAAAAATTTATAAAATCAGAGCAGTCGATTAAATTTCTGTGGGGTTCCCCTGTGATGCTGATATCCGCTCATCTCAACATTATTTACATTTTTATATTATGTTGAAATTCTCAGAAAAATATCGTGCTTCAAAAAATATGTAATGAAAAATGTATATTGTCTATATATAATTTAAAAAATGCATTCAAATGTTAAAAACTTAAAAATGATAATGATAAAAATACTAAATAGTAATTATTTAATAATATAATATGTAATAAGATTAAAAATGGTTTAAAATTATGTAAAAAAAAATATTCCCAAACATTTTAATAATTTTAAAAATATTGAGTTTTTACCATAAGAATAATCAACTTGTATGATATAATATGTGTATTTATATTGATTTAGTTTGAGCTGTTGAACCAGCCATACATTAATTCTAACATTTTAAGGTTTCGATTTGTTGGATTTTTTATTGTTGGGGTGTTGATGCCAACCTGATTGTGGCATACGGTCTTTTAAAAAATCATTTCTTAACTGTCGATTGGTGTGAGCTGGTTGGAAGATCACTTAAATATTATGTTTATCGATGATTTTAATGTTCCATATGCGTATTAAGAAATAAACTTTGGAACAGGTTTGTTCATATTCATGTTATGTTTACTATTACGTACTCTCAACGCTAGGGCAAATGAATAGTTTTTCCTGCTGGAAAAGGAGCATTTAAATTTAATTCAGTTTGGTAATTTAACGTTTGAAACTAACATTTTCTCGGGCGCTGTATATTACTGTACCATAAATTTGTCGTGTGCTAGTGTGTATCTCTGCATAGTCTTTTTAAACCAGGCCGTTTCGAGACAAAATGCAAACGACCGATGCGATGGCCAGCAAACAAAACACGACTGTGTCGTAATAATATTATAATTCTACGCTGCGCGGACTACATGTAATATATCATTGGAAAATGTGACATATTGTACATAAATTCAACAATTTATTAAGAGGCTTAAAAACGTTTGCCGGCCGGCGTCGTATCAGGCAGAACTCGTGGCGGCAGAATCGTATAGCTTTAAACCTAACATAATGCGGCGTCGTATATTAATATCAGATTTCCACTGCCACCACAGACCAGCACATATATAATAATATATAATCGGGTGCGCTTCTGCCACAACCGCCACAACCGCCATCACCACTGATCTAGCTGTATACATAATATTAAAATATAATACTGTCGTCTGCGGGAGAAGTCACTATTTTTCATTTAAAGTACTCGATCGAGGGCGGAAACGATTCCGGTCACCCACCCACGTTAACTTATACCCCGCTATCTGTCGATAGCGATATTATTATTATTATTATTATTATTAAAAAAACTGTATGAAAATATCCCTACCAAAACCCGTTTAGTCGTCTTAACTCCCATCGTGAAGGTTGGCATAATTATATCGTTGATTGTCTTACTCTCTGTCTCTCTCTTCCTTTATTATTTGAAACCGCCTTGTCACTTTCGAAGTGCCTGACAAGCGATGATACTTCATTTTAATTACAAACCATTGGCACGCAAGATATATTCCTTCAAAAAAAAAATGAACAGTGACACCAACGACGACAAGGCTACTGCAAGCACGTCATGAAATGCTGAAAATATTTCATAATGACATAACAACGAAAAAAATCCTTGCTGTACTCCTCATATAATGTTAGGGTGAATTACCTATGTGTACTTTAGGTACTGCATATGTATTGTACGAATTGTCATAATATTTCCCAAGACTAAAATGTATGAAATTCGGAATTCGTATGTCATAATTCTCTGTATTATTATCATGAAATAAATAGAGTTATTAGATTTTTACGGAAAAATAAACATTTTAAAAGATTGATAGCGAGAGAAAATGACATCGATTAAATAGATTATCTAAAAACGCATACTGTTTTCCGACTGCTTCGATTGTTTTGAAGATAAATCTTATTACATGTACGACAAATTTAACCAGCCGAAACTTTAGACAACTTTTAAACGAAATCTTTCTTCACTACGCTTACAATATTCCTATATTCCACTCCAACAACAGCCGGTTGGGCCTTAAGTCATGTTCGTACTATATATACACGCAGAATCGGGACGACATATTAAACACATTAGATACTCTGAGTTTGACAAATTTCGACCAAGAACTTTAATGGAGCGAAAGTTGCCGTCATGTCATAGTCGCGTAACGAATTCCTGACGAATTTTCTCCCGAGACATTTTAAAAACACGCCTTAAGTCACAGCGCTGATTTAGATTGAATACTCTTACGCATATCGATTATTCTTAAGGTACCAGCAGCCGAGGAGACGTATATCAAGCGCTTACAATAAATTATTCGAAGAGGATTTTCTACTTTCACGAAAACAACAACACGCCGTGTAAGCGCTAACTCTGAACGGTTTAGTTTGAAAATTCTACATAGTTGACATAATCATAATAACTATACAGTATCAAGTAAATTAATAAAATTCAATCAAATATTTTTTACGAAATAATTATATTTTATATTAATTGTCTGAAAAAATAATTTTAAAATTATATAGGTGCCTGCTAAGAAATTATAATTATACAGTATTATAAACATTATTAATTATTAAATACCTAATGTGCAGTTATAGTGAAAATATAATTTTAGTAATTAAATCAATAAAAAAATAAATAAATAATTTGAATTATATAATTAAAGCCAAAAATGTTAATAACTATATTATACACGTGAGTTTTAAGCAAATTTTAATTTTGTGAGGGCATCTTATACTTTTTATAACTCACTTATATTCAAATAAATATATAGAAATATAATTTTCAAAATAATATTAATATACAGTATAAAATAACTAATAAATCAGTGGTAAAAATAAACATCTCAATACGGCGCACTGGTTATGCAAAATAGCTTCACTTGTGTCAATAAGCGAAAATGTAAAAATAATTATTAATTGTCTTCAATACTAGAATAATAAGACGCGTGTTAAACACTCGGAAACCGTAGAAATCGAGTATAATATCGTAATGTCGATTTTTGCTGAAAACAAACACAGACCCCAAAACAATGACATTGTTATAGTAATGCCGCCGGGGTGTAAAGTTTTAATCTGAGTAGCAAAACAAAAATAAAACCTTTTTCGGTGATTTATAGGAGATTTTTCGACACCCTTTAAACTCGCGCTGCCACTGTATAATATCGAATAGATTGGAATTTACAAAAGAAGAAAGGAAAACTACGCCAAACTTTTCAACCGGTAGGCAGATGCCTTTTTTTACACCCACCGAAATTCTAGTCTCACACACTCGCATCAGTGACCGCAAAATGTACACCACCGGCCGGTCTTAACGCGTGTACACAGTGGTACAGGTTCCTACACATCGTGAAAGAAAGAAAAAAATCTGTCAAAGCCAGTGGTCGACGTTCGCTGCTGAAGGGAGTTCGTTAGTATATTGCTAGTGTATATAAGGTGAATACTGAACCAACCTGTAGTTGCTACGAGTTGAGTAACCATAGAGTCATTGAGATCTTCGACGCGTTGAGGTGTCACCGATAAATCAAAGTGGCCACAGATGGTGTGTCGGACAAAAAATCGTTTTGTCCGACACTTCATCATCTGGACAACGATGACGTAGAGTTTCGTCGATAGTTAGAACGCTGGTTGAAGGACCGCCAATTTTGATACTGAATTGCGGGCACCATACATAATATAGCTATGTATTTTCAGAAAACTAAAAAAAGAAAAATTGCATTGTAACAGACCCTGGTTATAAATGAAGCGATTTTTTGATGGTGTAATGATGTTCACCAGACGTTATGACGTAACTGTAATACATTTATATCATGAGTGGAATAATACTAAAAATGAAAACATGGATGTTTAATCGAATTAAATAACTTGTGTTAAAATTTAACGCACTTACTTATACGTAAGAAATATATTTTTTAGAATTTTCTATGAATTTTCCATTGTGTTTAATACCTCTAAAATATACATAGAAGTTATCAAGTGATGTATTATTAAACTTTTAGATTATATAAGAATTTATATATACATATATATTACACATATAATATGTTGATATAAAATTATAAATGTATTTTTTAATGAATTTAATCAAATAGCAAATGTTGGTAATGAATAATCGTTAATCAAAAACGATATGAGAACAATCCTATGGAATTGACTTTTTTCTTTAAAAGAAGTTGTTTTTGGTTTTTTATTTAAATATATGGTAATAATTATCAATTAACTGGACATCAAAATGTGTGAGTATAAATTTATTGTTTTTGAAATATAATTTTATTAGTCAATGGAAGAGTTTTAATGTTATTTTAACTACATAAATACAATCAACAAAACATTTTCATTTGAACGGTTCTAAAGTACCACCGTTTGAAGTAGAGTGGAATCCGTTTTTAACTCGAATTTGTAATCAGCGTACTTTAAAGCATTAAACAGTAT